GCCTCCTCCAGCCCCAAGCAGCCCGGACTCCCGGCCCCGCGCCCCTTGACCCCGCGCGTCCCCCATCCCGGACCCAGTCGTCGGTTGATCTGCGGGCGGGGGGGATAAGGCAACACCAATATTGTTTTTCAGGTGCCTGCATTTGTTCCTACTGCTTCCCTCCCAAGTGGAGCCGTGGTTTTCTGGATGAGCAGGAGACGGGGCTTGGCTGGCCAGGGACGGAATCGGGCCCTGCAGAGAGCCCGCCTTGGGAAGGATGAGGAGCGGCTGCGGAGACTAACGACGCGGCGGGAGCGATTTGAGTTGGACGCTGGGACGGAGTTCCAGGCTGTTTGAGGTGAGGAGCCGGGAGCTGGCGACCCTGGACGCGCGCGCCCGTGTGAGTGCGCGCGCACGCGCGATGGGAGGGAGGCGGGAGCGGGAGGGCGAGGAGAGCTCTCTTTCCCTGGCCTAAAATGCCCTCCCTTTCCTTTCTGCTGATCCCGCGCTGTCCCTCCTCCTTGAGCTGCTTTAAGCCCCGCCCCGCCCCGCGGGAATCCTCCGGGACCCACGTTCGTTCATTCATCAGGCTTTACTCCTGAGCCTCCTACCGCCGGGTGCCTGGGTGACAAAGAGGAACGCCGCTGTCTGGTTAGGGCTGGTTCTCATCGGACACAGTGCTGCGGGTGGGGCCTGGGTACCCGAGGTTGGGGCAGACCTGAGGAACCCAGAGGCCCCGCAGATGTGGTGGCCGAGCTCAGGGACTTTGGGGTGGTGGGGCCCGGTTCCAGATGCAGGAGCAGGCACTGAAGGAAGGTTGCCATGGGGCACGCTCTAAGGTGTCCAGACAGACTCCTTGAGTCCTTTTCTGCTAGTCTTTTTGTTTTCCGTTGGAAAGGAAAGCGGTCCAGACACTTGGGTTTTTCTGACTGCCATTCCGTGGCTTTGTGGTTCTTCTGGCCTTCCTGTGAAACTGGAGTGAGGCCTGTATTCCATGGGGCTCTGCACTGTCGGAGGTTATAAGCTGGGGCGCCTCATACAGTCTGGGTGTGGAGGTCCAGTGACTGTGCCCCATGGTCTTGGAGGCCTGAGAGAAGAGGAGGGACTTTCTCTGGCTCCCATAGTCTGTAAATAGTGGCTGTTACTCTTTGATGTGGCCTGTGTGTGTTCACTGGGGAGATGGAGGGGCCCTGAGCCCCACCATGCTCATGTGGAGGTTGTGCCTTCAGCGCCTTGCCTCTGTCCTGCCTGGGGATCTTTGGTGTGTGTAAGGTGCCTTCATCATGGTTTGAAGGTGACAAGGGTAGAGAAGGCCAGTAGAGGCAGGGTTGAAGGTCAAGGCATCTTTAAATATATGCTGAAGTTCATTATTCAGACTGAGCCAGCCAGGGCAGGCTGATCTGAAAGTGCTGGTGTTTTTATTGATTTTTAGAGAGAGAAGAAGGGATAGGGAGAGAGAGGAAAAAAAACATCGGATAGGCTGCTTCCTCACTAGGGATCTAGCCTGCAGCTCACCACATGACCAGGAATTGAACAGTGCACAGGATGATGCCCAACCAACTGAGCCACACCAGCCAGGACAAAGTGCTGGTGTTTTTATTTTTATTTTTTAAATATATTTTATTGTTTTCAGAGAGAGGAGGGGAGAGGGAGAGAGATAGAAACATCAGTGATGAGAGAGTCATTGATCGGCTGCCTCCTGCATGTCTCTCACTGGAGATCGAACCCGCAGTCTGGGCTCATGCCTTGACAGGGTATCGAAAAGTGATCTCCTGGATCATAGGTTGATGCTCAACCACTGAGCCACACTGGCCGGGCTGCTGGTGTTCTTAAATGTACGACATTACTTTTCTCCAGGAATCTGAGGATATGGCTGTCACTTTTAACTCCTATTTCTTGTTTTTGAAATCCTTTCCCAAGGATATGATTTTATTGATTGATTTGAGAAAGAGAGGAAGAGAGAAACATTGATGTGAGAGAGAAACATGGATCATTTGCCTCCCATATGTTCCCTGACTGGCGATTGGACCCACCACCCTTTGGTATATGGGACGACACTCCAGCCAACTGAGCCACACTGGCCAGGGCTTGTATTGGTATCTTCTTAGCCATGTGCTTCATCTCCTGTCTCTCAGTGCAGACTCTATGGGGCAGGGGCAGTTCTGGCTGTGTGGATCCAGCAGATCTAGTCCCAATAGTTGGCCCTGGCCACCAGCAGGGTGAGTTTCCCTTCCTGGATGTGCCTTCATGGTTCTTATCCGGAATATCTGCCTTTGTCTTTCCAATTCAAAGGGCTCAAGGGCAGGAACCGTGACTGGATCAGAAGCCCCAAGATAGCGGCCTACTTGGCTCAGCCCTCTTGGGTCCTCTCCAGGAGGACCTGACCACCGAAGGTATCGCAGAGTCTTAATTCCTTCTCTTTCTTTCCTGTATGTAGCCCTGTCAGTGTCCTGGTATGCTCTGAATGCCTTTGTCACATTGAAACGCCACTGCTTTTCTCTTGAACTTCCTGCCTTGTTTGTCTGGTTGACCAGTTAGGGGAATCATATAATGATGCTGTCGGGGGGTTCCCTCTCTCCCTTTGTGTAAGGACCAGTCATGCTGACACTTCTCACATGTCCCAGGGCTTCTCCCAAGGGCTGGTCTCTGGGCCTTGTCATTTCCCCATCACCACCTTCGACACCTACTGCAAGAGACCAGAGTATTGAAGCCAGTGATTTCTGTTTGGAAATAGGGTCGTCTTCTGCTGCTGACCCCCATCAAATCCCATCATGCCCACAGCCCTGTGCCCCCGAGTCTTGGCTCCAAAGGAAAGTGAGGAGCCCAGGAAAATGAGGAGCCCACCGGGAGAGAGCCCTGGCCCCCAGGGTGAGCTTCCCAGCCCGGAGTCCTCTCGACGCCTCTTCCGCCGGTTCCGCTACCAGGAGGCAGCGGGCCCCCGTGAGGCCCTGCAGCGCCTCTGGGACCTGTGCCGGGGCTGGCTGCGGCCCGAGCGGCACAGCAAGGAGCAGATCCTGGAGCTGTTGGTGCTGGAGCAGTTCCTGGCCATCCTGCCCCGGGAGATCCAGGGCTGGGTGCGTGCCCAGGAGCCCGAGAGTGGAGAGCAGGCTGTGGCTGCTGTGGAAGCACTGGAAAGGGAGCCAGGGAGACCCTGGCAGTGGGTGAGTGGAGCAACTGCTCTGGGCTGGCTGGAGGTCGGGAGGAGAGAGGGTAAGAGCGGGCTGGGCAGCATTGTGGAGAGGGGGGCCACCTAGCACCCCTGGCAGGGATGAGGAATTCTGTCTAGAACTCTGTGCTTTGGTTAGGCATACATGAGTGTTGGTTTCTCAGTAAATCAGATTATATTCCCTAAAGGCTCTTATTAGAAGGATGATAAGTTCTTCCTCTTTACAGCCTTGTCCAAGGCCTGGGCTGAGCCTCCAGTGGTCAGCTGTAGAGGTGATGGTCAGTAGGCCAAGGGAGGGATTTGCACAGCCTCTGGCCCTTGCTGGCTAGGGACCTCTCCACGAGTCCTGAAAAATTCTCTCTGGGATTGCAGCTCAAGCACTGTGAGGACCCTGTGGTGATTGACGATGGGGATGGCCCTCCGGACCAGGAGCAGGAGCCTCTGCCAGCAGAGCCCCAGAGCCACCTTGCAAAAAGCCAGGAAGCCCAGCCTGTGGCTCTGCCCCAGAGCCCCGGGCTTCCAAGCAGACTTCCAGGCCAACTCAGTGGGGACCCAGGTAGGGAGCCTGAGGGGTGGGAGAGGGGCCTGCATACCCCACCTTGTGCTTTGGTGGTGGCTCTTGACCTCAGCCAAACCCCTTACAAGGTCTGGATTCCTTCCTAGAGTAATTGAATCAGAATTTCCTGAGGGTGTCTGTTCTTATCATGGTGTCTCGTTCACCCAGAGGGACCTGTGTTGTAGGGGGCTGTCTTTGAGGCAGCACCATCTTCTCTCTGTGAGGGCACTTTTCTGTCATTTTGGGGGGACAGCCGTACACTGTTGGTTGTCCCAGTAGGGCCTGTGTCAGGAGCCGAGTGAGGCCATGTCCTCTTGCCTCCCTGAACCTCTCTTTCCCGGCTAAACAACTCCTGATCTCAGGCTTGTTATGATGCTGCAAGGAAATACAGAAGTATTCTCAGAGGGAACAGGTTGGTGTCTCGGTTTGGGTCTTGAATGTCACCTAGCCGTGTCTGAATATCTGTACAAAGTGTGCTGGTGGCTACAGGTAGGTGGTCTTGGCACCAGCTATACTTGATGTTGAATCCTCTCGCTATAACCTGGGGCATGCTTCTAAACTCTTCAAGCCTCAGTTTCCTGGTCCATCCAAAGGAAATAATCATTACCTTTATTGGGTTTCTTGAAGACTAAAGAATTCTATCCATAAAATGCTGAGCAGGGGTCCTGAGCCAGTCCATGATTTTGCGTTGAAGTAAGCCTGGTGGGAAGTTGTGCTGCCCTCAGGTTGAGTAAGTGACCTCTGTGGTGTGAGGGTTACTTCCGGCAGACTTGCCACACTGTGCTGATAGCAGATGGAAAGGAGAGGGGATGCCAGGAGAGAGTATTCTTGAGATCCACAGTTGTCTTTGATGTAATAAGTTTTTCAATTGAAAAAGAAGCATATTAAATTTCTTTATAGGTGAAACTATATTGACTTCTGAATAAACCAAATTCTTCAGCCCCTCCTTGGTTAAAAATCCAGATAGTTGTATTAGTTTTCTAGGAATGTTTGAGCAAAGTCCCACAGACAAGGCAGCTTAAACAACAGACATTTACTTTCTTCTAGTACTGGAGGCTAGAAGATCGAGATCCAGGTGTCAGCAGGGCTGGTTCCTTCTGAGGCCTCTCCCTTTGGTGTGTGGACGGCCATCATCTCCCTGTGTCCTCATGTGGTTGTCCCTCTGTGTGTGTCTGTGTCTTAATCTCTCTCTTTTTTTTTATTTTTATAAATTTTACCATCTTAACTATTTTTTTAAAAATATATCTTTATTGACTTCAGAGAGAGGAAGGGAGATAGAAACATCGATGATGAGAGTCGTCATTGATTGGCTGCCTCCTGTACGCCCCCAGCCGGGGATCAAGCCCACAACCTGGGCATGTGCCCTGACTGGGAATCGAACTGTGATTTCCTGAATCCTAGGCTGATGCTCAACTGCTTAGCCACTCCTGGCTGGGCACCATCTTAACTATTTTTTTAAGTTGACTTAGAGGAATGCTGAAGTGAGGAGAAACATTTATGTGAGAGAGAAATATTAATTGGTTGCCTCTTGCACATGCCTTGACTGGAGCTCGAACCCACAAACTTGGGTTTTTAATCAAGGAGAGGCTGAAGAATTTGATTTATACAGAAGTCAATATAGTTTCACCTGTAAAGAAATTTAATATGCATCTTTTTTAATTGAAATACTTATTAAATGTCAAAGACCTGCCACCTTTGGTGCACAGGACGACAGACACTCCAACCAACTGAGCCACACCGACCAGGGCTTAATCTCTTCTTTTAAGGACATCAGTCATATTGTGTTAGGGCCCATCCTGAAGATTTTGTTAACTTAATTACTTCTTGAAAGACCCTCATCTCCAAATATAGTCAAATTTTGAGGTCCTGGGGGTTGGGACTTCAACATGTGAATTTGGTGGGGACACAGTTTAAACTGTAATGACAGGCATAAAGGAAGCAACCATTAGCCCAAATAAACACTGCTTGTGCAGGCAGCCTGTGGTATGCAGGTTGTGGGTAGCAAGAATGCCCTCAGGAGTAGTTGCCCCAGTCTTAGCTGGTGCCTCTTTGGACTTATTCAGAGATAAGCCAGTTATGGGCTTCTGGTCAAAAGGCTCAGCTCTTTCATTTCCCTGAGCAATAAAAATGGACAAAGTAGACATGGTGAGCTAGTTATCAGGAAGACCTTAAAGACACGAGTGATTTATTGTTGGGATGAGCCTCCAGTAAAAACCATATAGTTCCTAATCTTAAAAATCTTCCCCAAAAGCTAGATCTTGTTTAGAGGCTGAAAGTTTTCCACAGTGGTGTGTAAAAGTGTCCGTGTACTCATGTCCCATGGGAAAGGTAGGGTGAGGCTGTCATTCATCCCCCAAAAGGTGGCAGGTATGAGAGCAGAATGAAATTACCCCTAACATCCACACCCACCCAGCCTGAGCTTCCCCTAGCAGAGTGAGGAGGCTGCCTGTCGGGGATCCCCAATGTCACTGCTGGCTAGCTGTCTCCTGTTCTGCCTCCTGTTCCCGAGGAGGCAGAATAGTTCTAAATAGTTACACCTGTCCCTGCTGCTTCCTGGTGAGGGATGTGTTAGCTTTGACACTGATTTGACATGTGACCTGGGGTCAATCTTTAGGAGACCAAGAGACAATAGTGCAGCTTTCCAAGTCTTATTCTGTGAAAGGAGCACCATTTGAAACAGCTTGTTTTCTCATGGCTGCACCCTGGGCCAGATATGTCGCTCACTGCATACAGAAGCCTGAGCAAGGTGTAGTTGCCAGTCAGGGAGAGAAATCCTGTTGGAATAGCAGTCCTGCCCCCCAGGCCTCAAAGTCAGGCCTAGAGAGGTGGTCCCAGTGCTACACTCTGCACTTTATAGTGATGGTTAGGGCACTGCAACAAGTGCTTTTTCCAGGGGCGCCTAGCAGTGACACAGTCTTCTGGAGTTTATAGTTTATAAACTTCCAGATGTATGCATTTCTGTGACCGTGGAGCCCCACAGTAATCTTCATTGCTGGCAGCTCTTACTGATATCTTGACTCAGCTCTAACCTTTATCTTCCCAATATTTCGGATCATGAAGTTGAGGCCCCTGCACCTGTGGGAAGTTACGTTGCGACTTAGTGGCAGGGCCAACTCAAACCCAGGTATTCCCTGTTAAAGTGCCCATTGTCATGTCTGTGGTTTGCCCAAAGCTTTTTACCTGCATTATTTTGTAATCCTCCCTTTGCAGGTAAGAAAGGCGACCTTGGATTATGAGACACCCTTTTCTCATCTTTTTCAGTTCCACAAGACCCGTCCCTCCTTCAGGAAGCGAGCTTGAGGGACACACAGCAGGTGACTGCTCTCCAGCTGCCCCTGGTGAGTGACTTCTGCAAGAGCCCTTAAAACCCCACTTTGCCTCTCTGTCAGCTACAGGGAAGCTTTTCCAGGACGCTGGCCAGCCTTCTGTTGGCCACACAGGCTGTTCAGCCTCAGCCTAGAAAAACTAAGAGGACGACATGAGTTTATGTGACTCCCACCCCTCCTCCTGCCCCATAGTCCGGGCTGCTCACTGTGCTGGCTGTGCCGTCACTTTCAGGAGCCCGTGTGGACAATGGTGTGGATAAGGAACATTCTGGAGTCCCCATCTCTCTCTCTTCCTCTTGGCATCTTGGTGTCCCCTCCAGTGAAAAAGGAAAGGGAAAATGTATATTTCTTTGATACCGTCACACAGCCGTGCAGAGGGCTGTTAGGGAATTTCCACATAAGGCTTACTTTCTCGGTGTCCTCCCCAGGTGGGAGCTGGTCTTGGTCTGGCAGGTGTCCTCACTCATCTCTTTCCTTCCGAGTTTCTGCCTGGGGCTGTGGTTGCTGACCATACCCCCCCTTAGTTTTTCTTGTGAACACTTTCCATCAGCTGGCATGAAATTTAGTTATTGCAAGAATGGCGGTGCTATAAAGGCATGGACCCTATTACTGTTTCTCAGCAGATGGAAGACTATCTATCTGAAGGACAATAAACATAGTTTGTTTTCTGCACAGTGCATTTAACAGGACTTTAAACTTGGGAGGGGTTCCGATCAGGATGGGAGGGAATTTGTTAGACACATGCAGTGGGGAATATCCATTCCCTTGGACCTGTTCCCTTGGAACATGCATGTGTTCCAGCATCTGCTGATGCCTTTGACCAGCATGACTTGCAAGGGGATGCTGTGAATTTAGTATCTATTGAGCTTTGGTGTTCATCTTTGAATTTCTCCAGGTCCCTGTAGATGCCACAGTGAGTAGAAGATACAGATTTTGATAAGTCAGTGCTGTTTATTTCTCCATTGAAGATTGTTCTGTCCAGTGCACTAAAAGTCACCATCCTGAAGGGCTTATTTTTTAGGGTTTTTTCTTTTTAATTTTTACTTTTAATTGTAAAATACATACAACAAAATGTACAATCTTAATCATTTTAAATGTACAGTAGTGTTTTTAAATGTTCAGTAATCGTAAGTATACTCCCATTATTACTGTGCAGCCAATCTCCAGAATTTTTTCATCTTTTCAAACTGAAACTCCTCAACCATTTAGTAATAATTCCCCGTCCTTCCATACCTCTCTCCCTGCACCCACCATCCCACTCACTGTAGACAGTGCACATAAGTGAAACCATATAGCATTTGTCCTTTTGAGTCTGGCTTAGTTCCCTCAGTGTAATGTCCTCAAGGGTCATCCATGATGTAGCATTTGTTAGAATTTTCTTTGTTAAGGCTAAATGATATTTCATGTTGTGTATATAACCCAGTGTGCTTATCCATTCATTCTTTTTTAAAAAATATTTTTATTGATTTTTAGAGAGGAGAAGGAGGGAGAGAGAGAAACATCAATGTGAGAGCGTAACGTCAACTGGCTTCCTCCTACAGGCCCCCTATTGGGGATCAGCCCACAACCCAGGCATGTGCCCTGACCAGGAATCTAACTAGCAATCTTTTGGTTTGGTGCATAGGACGATGCCCAACCAACTGAGCCTCACAGGCCCGGGCATTTAATTCTTTGATGGACACTTGGGTTGCTTCCACCTCTTGGCTACTATGAATAATGTTGCTATGAACATAGGTGCATGTAAAGTTTTATTTATTTTATTTTGGTAATCATAGATTGACCTGCAGATGTAAGAAATAACCTGGCCCTATACTCTTTACACTGAATGATAGTGTCTTGTAGATACAATACAATGTCAAAAGCCATATACTGACATTAATGCACATAGGGTACAGAAATTTGCTTTCAGAAGGATCCTTCCTGTTGCCTTTTACAGCCATACCCACTGCTCTCACCACAGCTTCTCATTGGTCTTTGATAACCATTGATGTTTTTTCTAATGGTATTGTTTCAAGAACATTAAGTAGGTAGATTCATACAGTGTGTCACATTTAGGGATGGGCTTTTTTTTCTTTTTATTGAATTTATTGGGGTGACACTGGTTAACAAAATTATACAGGTTTCAGGTGCACAGTTCTATAGCACATCATCTGTACACTGTATTGTGTGATCACCACCCCAAGTCAAGTCTCTGTGCATCACCATTTATCCCCCCCTAAATCCTTCTCCCCTTCTTCCAGCCCCCTCCCCTCTGCAATCACCACACTATTGTCACTGTCCATGAATTTTCTCTTTTTTTTGCTCAGTCCCTCCCCCACTCTCCACACCCCACAGCTGTCAGCCTGCTCTCTATGAGTCTGTCTCAGTTTTGCTTGTTAGTTCATTTTGTTCATTAGATTCCACATATGAGTGAAATCATATGGTGCTTGTCTTTCTCTGACTGGCATGTTTCACTTAGCATAATGTTTTCCAGATTCATCCATGCTGTCACAAAGTGTAAAATTTCCCCTTTTTTGGTTGAGTAGTATTCCATTGTATAAATGTACCACAGCTTTTTACTCCACTCATTTACTGATGGACAGTTGGGATGCTTCAAAATCTTGGCTATTGTAAATAACACTGCAGTGAACATAGGGCTGCAAATACCCCTTCGAATTAGTGTGTTGTGTTTCTTCAGATAAATTTCCAGAAGTGGGATCACTGGATCATAAGGCAGTTCCATTTTTTAATTTTTGAGGTAACTCCATTCTGCTTTCCACAGTGGCTGTACAAATCTGCATTCCCACCAGCAGTGCATGAGGGTTCCCTTTTCTCCACATCCTCTCCAACACTTTGTTGATTTATTGATGATAGCCATTTTGATAGGCATGACCTGATATCTCTCTGTGGTTTTAATTTGCATTCTCTGATGATTAGTGACATTGAGCATCTTTTCATATGTCTGTTGTTAATCTGTATGTCTCCTTTGGAGAAGAGTCTATTCAGGTCCTTTGCCCAGTTTTTAATTGGATTGTTTGTTTTTTTGGTGTTGAGTTTTATAAGTTCTTTATAAATTTTGGATATTAACTGCCTATCAGATGTATCAACAAATATGTTCTCCCATTCAGTGGATTGTCTTTCCGTTTTGTTGATGATTTTCTTTGCTGTGCAAAAAATTTTTAGTTTGATGTAGTCCCATTTGTTTATTTTTTCTTTTGTTTTCTGTACCCAAGGAGATATATCATAGAAAATACTGCTACGAGAAGTGTCCGAGATTTTACTGCCTGTGTTTTCTTCTAGGATTATTGTGGTTTCGAGTTTAACATTTAAGTCTTTAATCCATTTTGAGTTTATTCTTGTGTGTGGTGTAAGAGGGTGATCTAGTTTCTTTTTTTTTGCACATATGTGTCCAGTTTTCCCAACACCATTTATTGAATTGACTATCTTTATCCCATTGTATGTTTTTTCCTCCTTTGTCAAATATTAATTGACTATAAAGGCATGGGTTTATTTCTGGGCTCTCTGTTCTGTTCCATTGATCTATGTCTGTTTTTATGCCAGTACCATGCAGTTTTGATTACTACGGCCTGGTAATATAGTTTGATATCAGCTAGCATGTTTCCTCCAGCTTTGTTCTTTTTTTTCCTCAAGATCGTGGTTGCTTTTTGGGGTCTTTTGTGGTTCTATAGAAATTTTTGGAATATTTGTTGTAGTTCTGTGAAATATGCCATTGAATATTGATAGCAATTGCACTGAATCTATAGATTGCTTTGGATAGTATAGACATTTTAATAATGTTAATTCTTTCTGTCCACAAACATGGTAGATGCTTCCACTTATTTGTATCTTCTTAAGTTTCTTTCTTTAGTGTCTTACAGTTTTCTGAGTATAGGTCTTTTACCTCCGTGGTTAAAATTATTCCTAAGTGTTGTTTTTTTTTTAAACACTTGTGAATGGTATTTTTTTTTTAAATATATCTTTATTGATTTCAGGGAGGGGGGGGGAGAGAGAGAGAGAGAGAGAAACAATGATGAGAGAGTCATTGATCAGCTGCCTCCTGCATGCCCCCTACTGGGCATCAAGCCTGAAACCCAGGCATGTGCCCTGACTGGAATTGAACTGCGATCTCCTGGATCATAGGTTGATGCTCAACCACTGAACCACACCAGCCAGGTGGTATTGTTTTCTTAGCTTCCCTTTCTGATAGTTTATTATTGGCGTATAAAAATGCAACTGATTTCTGCGTATTTATTTTGTGTCTTGCTACTTTACTGAATTCATTTATCAGTTCTAGTAGTTTTTTGGTGGAATCTTCAGGATTGTCTATCATGTCATTTGCAAATAATGATAGTTTTACTTCTTCCTTTCTAGTTTGGATGCCTTTTATTTCTTCTTTTTGTCTGATTGCTGTCGCTAGGACTTCTAGTATTATGTTAAATAAGAGTGGTAAAAGCAGATATCCCTGTGTTGTTCCCTATGTTAAGGGAAATGCTTGTTGTTTTTGCCCATTGAGTGTGATTTTGGCTGTGAGTCTGTCATATATGGCCTTTATTATGTTGAGGTATGTTCCCTATATTTCCACTTTGCTGAGAGTTTTTATCATAAATGGGTGTGGGATTTTATCAAATGCTTTTTCTGCATCTATTGATGTAATCATGTGGTTTTTAATCCTTCATTTTGTTTATGTGGTGTATAATGTTTATTGATTTGCCAATATCGTACCAAATCTTACAGGGGATGGTTGTTTTCAATCAGCATAATTCTTTGGAGCTTCAACCAGTGTTTTGCATGTATCAGTAGTCTGTTCTGTTTTTATTGCTGAGGAACGACCCCATGGCATGGATGTACCACATGGTTTGTTGAACCATTCACCTGCTGAAGGAGATCTGAGTTGTTTCCAGTTTAGGGCATTTTGCATAACACTGCTGTAAACATTTGTGTACAGATTTTTGTGTGACCATCAGTCTTCATTTCCCTGGGGACACATGCCCAGGTATACAATTGTTGGGTTGTCTGGTATCTTTTTCCAGAGT